CTGTGACTGGATTACAACAAAGTAATAAGCACAGTTTTAAAATAGCTGCCTTCTCTGCCCGACTGCAAGTACCTAATTTAAACACTTGTAATGTCTCACTGAAATTATGTTTTTCTTAGCACAGCAATATCACTCTTCCCTTACAGTATCTGTTTCATTGCTAAATACGAATTTTCAAATGTGGGTTCTGGTTGCAGGGACTGCGAGAGAGTTACCCACTGAAACCCATGATTACTCCAGAGTGGCTGATCAGTGTTAGAGCTGCACTCAATCAAGAGCCAGCGATGAGCTGCACAGTGACGAGCATGCAAACAAAATCAGAGTTTGATTTGTGTGTGTTTAATATACACTTGCTATAAAGTATACATTTCAGTGGCTGCGGTCACTTGACACTGACAAGAATGCAATCAAGTTCCTAGGCACGAAGAGAAGTTTTACCCCTCTTTGGCTGACAGGATGTTGACGGCCCAGTGAAATGCAAGGAGGAAATCAGTTCTGTCAAAATGCTACGTGCAGCACCACAGAAGTTTGGCACGTGGTTTAGGCATAGGACACAATGCTGTTTCCTAAACAAATTAGCAATAAAAAGAGCATTGGGAGAAGACAGGAAAGAGAGAACTCTTTCAGATTCAGCTTCAGGTGTGAATGAAACTAAGGCATATATTAAGCACTCTCTGCTTTCATTTTCTCTACTTGAGTCTTTTTACTGGCCAAGCTTTTTACTTAGAGTACTATATATAAGCATTCTTATTTGCGCTTTACTCAAACTTACACTAAATTCAAGTGATGGGTCATTTTAAGATAACTGATTAATATCATGACACTTGTTGGTCAAAAAATAAATACTCTGGTACAAAAATGTCCAGCTTCCCGCTCCATTTCTTTCAAGTTTCTTTACATATGTAACCCCCTGACACTATTTTGAGAGCAGCCATAACAGAATTAAAAGAAGAAAAGCCACTTTTATGATAAACTTTGCAGTCTGATGTGAGGTCATTGGAGCACTGAGTGCTTGCCAACGAATGCAAAATACACAGTAAGAATAAAAGGAAAACATGCCCCCTTCCTCTGCCAATCAAATCCACTCCCTGAAAGGGAGGTAAATCTCTTCATAGACTGAATAAGACATAGACTTACCTTTGAGCAGTCATGCAGATTTTGCCTAAGCTTCTGTAAGAAGAAATTTTTAATGGAAAAAGTTACCTGGGTTTTTGTAGATGCTAAGCACATCCTTGAAATAATGAGGTAAGAATCTTTCTAATAAAAGCAGCACATCCTCCAGCTCCTCCAGAATTCCCACAAGCAGAAAATTTTCATTAACATTCAGCTTTGCTCTTTCAAGGGCCCACTCACCAGGCTCCCTATATGAAATTAAAAGAGGGAGAGGAAGGGAAGAAGGCCTGTAAACATGCAATTCCCTCGAAGCAATTTGTCTGAGAGCCTAGAGAGATCCCAATGGGAAATCAGCTGATGGAAGTCAATGTACAGTGCGATATTCATCCAGGACAGCAGGACGATCCAACGTGCCCAGTCTGCTCACTCCGTCTGTGGCCTTCTCTTTAGGGATTATTTTCCTTCGGGTCTGGCAGGCGATAAGCCAGCTGCAGGCCAGATGAACTGTGTTGGAAGCCATTCCCTGATATTCCATTTCCTGACGACGTGGTAACTAACGTCCCCACAAGCCATGACCATATATATAGCCACTGCCTGTCCAGGATATAGACAGGCTCTGAAATACGACAGCACATATCTGATCATGCAAGAGGAAATGTGCATATGTGCTGCTAAACGTGACTAGATGTGTACCTACCACATGGCCAAAACCAGCTGGCATTCACTCTTGCCCGAGGTCTGAACAGACAACCATCACGTACTTCAGTTGAGCAATGGACATCTGGTAGCATTATGGAAGCTGTGTGGTCTGTCCCAGCAAATCCCCATGTGGATTTAGGATTTCCCTTGGAAATTATGCTCTTAAAATAATGTCCTACTCTTTTGGTGGGCAGAACATCAACTATTCCTAGTGAGGCCATGACTTCTTTGAGAAAGCAGGTCTTACTGTCTGACTGTTCACACTTAGCTGAAGAAGCAGCAGTGCTGAATTTGATTGGAAAATATTATTTTAAAGACATGATACTTTTCAGATTTGTTGCAACAGCAAGAAACAGATCTATAATATGCTACAAAACGGAATTTGAATAGACTGTTCAGAACCCCCTAGCGACTTCTTGCAAAACCATTCATGCTTGTCACTGTTGTTTATGGGAGGGAGTGCTCTTGTATACAAGTTAAATATGCACACAAACATATGCAAAATACAGTAAGAAAAAAATGTAATCAAAATGAAGTCATGAATGTAATTTATTTCTTAATTAGACCCTACCTTATGCAAAAATTTTTAATTTTTTTTTAAGATATGCATAATTATTCTACTATGGAGCAGTAATAAAGGTCTAACAAATATATCTAGATTTGATTCATTATTTGAGTGTGAAATCAACAAAAACTGTCATTACTATTTGCATCACCCTTCGTACTCTTGAAATAGATGCAATAGATCCCATTCAGTCATATTATACATACACTTTCTTTTAGTACTTCAAATAGCCGTTGCCTGTGCTTTAGCATTTTGTGACAAAAAGATGGCAACAGCTATCTCTTAACAGATACCTTGTATACATTTACCTGCATCTCGGATGCTGTCCACAGAAATACGGTATGATATAAAATAACCTGGGATTGGAACATTCAGGGTAGTTTTCAAGGATACATACGTTGATGTCCTGTGGGGGACAAAAAAGACAATGAGACTGAAGACTGTGTTTTCCCTACTTTATTAACACTTGTATTCTTTTTCTCATATTTCATATAGCCATCTCAGGATGAAAGAATTGTGCTTAGGTCATACCAAGTACCTTACAAAAAACTTGGTGATTTTAATACTTTTGAATTTTATTAAAAAGCTAAAGGAAAGAGAGAGAAAAAAGATACTTTTGTGCTATAATGTCTTGCTGCAAATCACATGATTTTTACACTAGGAAGAATGCATAATTCAAAAGAGGACACATGGATGACCTTCAGACTAAATATAGTACTTAAAATATTCAGGACATTATTTTCAAATACTACTTCTTTCTAAGTATACTGTGGGGAAAACTTGAAGTAGCCAGAATAAATCAAACTGAGACAACATTTTTTATTTGTTATGCTTCATACAATGACTGTACTGAACAAATATAAACTCCAATTGGCACAGCTTGCTCTTTATATAACAGCATTTATCGCCTTTGATTACAACTCAGTATGTTCCTCAGATGTTCAGAATTGATCCTCTTGTGTGAACCCTTACTGAGAAAAGAGCTGATCAGAAACTCTTTATCATCCTTCTGATTTATCATTCATCTGAGGAGGAACTGCTTATCATTTTTCAAAGCCTTTGCATGCAACTGAAAGCTGAGGACTGCATTCCATTATTAGTTTTATTTTAGTGCACTGTAAAGACACCTTCAATGCAGTTAAATTCTACTATCCTTAAATATCCCAAGTATCCTTATTCTCCAAGCAGATCCACTGATTTCAAAGAGATTTTTTGGAGGAACAAAGAACATAATACAACATAAGCAAAGATGAAAGACTCTCATCTCTGCAAGGTAATCTTTCTTTTCATTCCTGTTTAAACACACCTGCTTTTATGACACAACGGGCTGGACACATATTAACAACAAACCAATGGCTAATCAAATACTTACTTCACCAAGCAAATAAAGCATGATGGAGAACATTTGAGCAGGTAACACATCATGAGAAAGCCAGAATTCCTCACCAACCTGGGAGACATTCAGAGTATTCCCAGTGTCAGTGAGAAATGACGATTCCCAGGCAGTGCAGGAAGCAGGGTGCCTATGGCAGCATCGCATCCTGAGACTTCAATTCCGAAAAGCTCCTTTGCTCTTCCCAGAACTTAAGTCCTCATGCCAACCTTTATTATTTTCAAATTTGGGACTGTAAGTCTTTTTAAAGAAGATGCCCATTTCCATTCCCAGTCTTACGTTTATAAATTCTGATTTACATAAACATGCCAGAAGATCCTGGGCTGTGGAGTCAATTCTGTGAATGTAAAAACTTCCAATTGGGATACAACTATCCCACCCCTCCTGCTTCCCCCAGTGTCTTCAAGCATACTTAACAAGGCTTGCCTCAGATTCATACGAAAAGATTGATGGTCATGACACGAATTTCAGAATTCACGTTTCTTACTTTAAAGCTGTCTTTCAACTCCCTTCTCATTCCTATAAACATTACTAAGAAATCTACTGGATGCACAGATAAGGTGTTCTTCCTATGATTCAAAAAGCTTTAACACACAGCAATTAAAAAATGCAATTCCATAAAGAGTTGTTATACTTTTCATTGTAGACACTATTAGAGATGTTTTCAGGTATATGTATTTTGCAGTTGTCATAAGAACCCCCAGAACTCTGCAATAAACTTAACAATAGCTAAAACATGGTCCTAAAAATACTTTATGTCACCTTCTGGTTGATTAATGAATTAAGAGGCAGAAACACTTATTTTAGATTAAAAAAGTTTAGTGACAACCCACATAAAACTGTTCCTCTTTCCTTACCTCTGTGCAAAGGTGAAGGGGCATTAACTCACACCTTTATTTCTTTTAAAGAAACTGTGAGTGAGGAAACTATTCCCTGAAATCAGAGTGTCACTATTCAATACAAAAGAGTAACAGAGACCTACATGTCCTTTTGAAAGCAGTATTTGATTAACATGGGCAGAGAAAGCATCCACACAAGAAAAGCAACATGCCTTCACATGGAAAATCCCACATTTTTAAACAACTAAGTAACTTTTGTCTAGTCAAAAAGAGATCTTTAATATACTTTGTTTTTTTTTTTTTAGTGGAAAGTACTTTCGCTTCAGGGAATTAAGAGGTATTTCCTTTCAATGAAGTGGTATTTCAAGTTGACTTGTGAAGGGAAAAAAAGGATCAGAGTAGGGAACGTTCCTCCCTGCACTGATTCAATAGAGGTTCAAGATAGAAGAAAAGCGTGTTTTTACACAAACCTACATTTTTTCACTCGAGGCACAAACACACGTTTAATGTTCCACACAGCAGAAGCATCACGTTTATTCTGTGGTTAAAGGATTGCCCCGACAGTCTCCCTTTACTACTGCTGCTGCTGCAAAAAGCAGCCTTACTTGCTGACATATGATCTTCATTACAGCTGCTGGATGGTTCCAATATAATTTGAGCACCTGCTATCCTTTCATATTTTAATATATTGATAATTTGTGAAATGAATCACCAGCAACCACCCACCCTCTCCAAAGGGATTTTACTTGAGGATAATAATGCAGCTTCATGATCCATGAAATCATAATCTTTATCAAGAGGTGGAACACAAGAAAGTGTGGCCTGAGGCTTACTCCAGCATGCAACAATTATCACTGCATTAATTATTACAAAACATATCAATATGAAGCTCTTCTTTTGCTGCTGACATGACTTAAAGGATTTTTTATTTTCTGAGCACAAAAAAATTAAGGTGAAATTACATTATTCTAGGCAATGTTATTCTGTTATCTGAGGCACTGTTAGTGCTACATTCTTCATTAACATCTTGCTTCCCTACAAAGACACGAATCTTTCCGGGCAGATAGTTCTGCTGCAGACACAAAAAAATCCAGTGTGGCAGATGACAGTTTTTCTCTAGCCTCTCCAGGTCCCTCTGAACAGCAGCAGAGCGCTCCGGGATATCAGCCACTCCTCCCAGTTTTGCATCATATCAATCATATTTTTCCATTAATTTTCCATTCATCTACAGGAAGACAAACAAACAGTCTTTCCTTTTCTTGCACACAAAATGAAAATACAGCAGTCTTTCCATGCCCTGCCTGGCTGGAATATGGCAACCTGTGTTATGCAATTAGGAGAGACTCGACTCACAGGCCAGTCTCAACGTATGGGCCTTATTTAAGCCTGAAGGTAACAGATGTGAAGTTAAGGTGTGTCACGAAGGCTACAGAGGAAGCAGTGAACTAAACAAATACCTTTCAAGTAGGAACATAACCATAAAAGGAAATGAAATAAAATTATGTGGAAAACCAGTGAGTGAGCCCAGCCTACGGTGCCCTCTCCTGCTTACAAGGCTGTTCTTAATACACTACTACAGTCAATAGCACTGTTTAGTCCACAGCACGGGCAGCCAAGGAAAATTCTTCTGCTCTGCTGAGAGCCCTCAGAATCCCCTAACTACTTTTCACATGTTTTCTCACATACTTGCTCAGTATTTGTAAAGGGGTCAAGCTGACCGTTACATCCTTATGGCAGCATTGCATCATATGAACTAAACACAATTACACCGAAATACTCTGACCCTTGGCTAGGGAACCTGGGCGGCCACAGAGCAGTGAGAAGGAAAATGGAAACAAGACGGCTCAGAAAACAGCCTACAAACATGAATAAGTAAGGAAAAAGGGAAAGGCACCATTTCCTATTTTGTAAAGCTGAAGAAACACATACCTTACTTCAAAGACCCTGGAAAGTCAAGGTATAGCTAGAATTACAGTTTTCAAATACTACTGTAATATGACTTCATGTTTGTTATTTAGTCATACGAGTCATTTACTTTTTTTTTGTGAAAAATAAAACACAATACATAATTTTAACCCGAAGAAAAGACATTTTTACTACAGTGATATTTTATATTCTTCTTCGATCTCAAATATGTAGATGATTAGAGCTGCACAGGATCATGAAGACCTGTTTGTTTCAAATCCTGGAGGAATTTGGTATTTGCTTGTGAACCGAGACAAGCGGCACTGGCAGCCGATCACCTCGAGGTCCTCAGGCACTGGGTGTCACTTCCCAGCTGCCAACAGGGCTGAAGCCAAGCGGTTCCTCACCCACGCTGTTCTGGTACTGAGCCCCTCCAAGAAGCACTGCCAGCAGTAGTGGGTTGTGCCAAACTGCGTGGGAGTTTTCTGAGACACCCAAATGTCCTCTGGAGACTGCAGCGAAGTGACCAAAGGCAGACTCCCGAACAAGAAGTGGGTACTGAGCTCCATGAGACAGCAGTTATCTGTGGGTTTCTGGCCCCAGACATCCCTTCACACGAGTTCTGATGGCCCCTTGACTCATGTGCAAGCTCCACCATCTCAGTAAAGTCCCACTGGAGCATTATAGGCCACACCAATGACTTAAGGCACACGGTTGTTTTTTTTTTTTTTAAACACACTTTGTCAGTGCTGTCATTGCAACAGAAGGGAAACAGTCGGTCACCAGATCATGAAGCCTTTTCTCAACGGCACAAGGACGTAACCACCCGCTGTGCTCAAGTGCTCCCACCACGGCAATACGGAGACTCACACACGTGCCCAGCTGCTTCAGGCGTGGAGCCCGTCCAAAGACTGCAGGTCTGCCCCGCACCTCCGGCAGACACTGCATTTCGAGTTGAGCTATGCTTTCCATTTTCAAACTAGTTTTTAGTCACAGATAATACTGCTTTCAACTCATCTATTTTTTATGAGATACAGTCCTGGATGCTTTTGTATAGCTTTTCAAAAGACTATTTGTAGGTATTCAGATCCTCTCCTTCCACATACTCATCAGTAGTTGAAATCTGCCTTTTGAAAAATCTTTGATCTCGTAAATTTCCAGAAAAGCATCATTACTGTTTCTTCTACAAACTGTTCTCTACCTTAACTTAAATCATTGTATAAAAATATCAGCAAAAGCAACTAGAGAATAAAAAGAAAAGAGAAAAAT